GCACATACAGCAAAATATTAACTAAATCATACCAATAAGGGTAATGTAGTAGCATCAGTCTTAAATTCGGATACTAGGTAACATTAAATGTTACTGTAGTTGTGACCCTTATGTTGTGTAAGAAAAAGATTAATAAAATAGTTCTAGCAGGAAAAAAAAAAAAAAAAAAAGCTAAGTAAGACTGATCCACACTGAATTAGTTCAAATTTAAGGAAGGAGCACAATCTTTTATTTCAGCTTCATTAGCTAAACCATAACCACGAACCATTTCATACCTTTTCTTTCTCCTGGGGAAAAGAGCTTTTCTTCTTCATTATGCATCTGTTTAATAGGATTATGATTTCCATTTATAAATATGGAAAATTCAAAGCTAACTACTTAATTCCTGGTCACATTTGCAAGTCAGTGAAGGAAAAAGGACTGCAGTTTGAGACTGGCTGAATTTACTAATATCCTCATCCTTTCCCTTTTGTTTTTGATTCCACCCAAAGGACTAAAATGTTTTCAGAATACCTCTGGAAATATTTCCCAGACATCATTACAGCCTGTAACTTTAACACTAAGATAAACAGAACGTTTATGAGGTGCACCATATCATAACTTTGCTCTCATCTCACCTTATAAAAATAAAATGGTTGTAAATTGAGAACTTCAATAATCCAGGGGAAAGTACGAGGTGAGCTATAGGCAAAGAGCACAATTTCCAAACAACAGGCCATCAAGGAACGATGAAATATATCCTGCTCTAAAAGAACCTTGGAGAACAGAAAAACTGCAGTTTAATATTTCTCAGCAATTTCAGCCTTTGCCATTCTATAAAGACTACAGAAACAAGATAAAATAATGTGTACATTATACCAGATTATCAAAGATAATGTGAGCTCTCAAACTGGTAAAGAGTTTTGTTATAACATATAATCTTGCTCAATGGTAGATTTTAAATTTAAATGAGGCATACACAACAATCTGCTTTGAAATAATAAAACAGTCAATATTCCCATCAAGAGGAAGCATTAGGATTGGTTCCATTTTTTTTTTTTGTTCCGTTTGTTTTTAAATGCCAGTTTTACAACTATTTTGTTAACATAAAGACTGTTAATCAGGGGTGCCTGGGTGGTTCAGTTAAGAGTCAGACTCTTGGTTTCAGCTCAGGTCATGATCTCATGGCTTTGTGGGTTCAAGCCCTACACTGGACTCTGTGCTGGCAGTGCAGAGCCAGTTTGGGATTCTCTCTCTCTCTCTCTCTCTCTCTCTCTCTGTCCCTCCCCCACTTGCGCTGTCTCTGTCTCTCTCCAAATAAACAAATAAACTTAATAAAAAAATATTTGTTAATCAAAACACTAAAATCAAAGGTATTATGTCACAGCTAAGACTTAAAAAAGTTCAGAGAAATAATTTACTAAGAAGATAAAAGTCGTGTTGAGCATTAAGACTTTTTTTTTGAGTTTAAGATTTAACAAAATTTTCAGTTTTAAAAAGTGTTTGTTGCCATCCTTCTTTTAAATATCACTCCAAATCAACAAAAAGGATAAGAAACAGAAACTCCTTGGATAAAACTAGAAGTCAGCTGTAACTGCAAATTAGAATACATGAAAACTGAAAGTGGATGGAAGGATGACAAATTACTCAGTAGAAAGTAGGATGGTCAAACATAAGGGCCTGAAGAGAGACACTTGGACCTAATTAATTTGCTCCATGCAACCTGGGGAAAACATAGCAACTGAAGGGACAGGAGGAATGGAAAGTAGGGGCTAGGCAGGGGCTGACACGAATGGATGATTTGAAAGTCTGTAGTAGTTAGAACTCGTCAGGTCCCCATTCAACCCCTACTCTAATGAAGCAGATGATAGGCCTCTAGTCTGTCCCAACAGGGATCTGGAGAATTATTCTAAGACTGAACTAGGGAGACTCAGCTTGAGAACACCAGACATAGAAGAAACTGTGGTTTTAGGCAAAAGTCTGCAGACTGCATTGTGAGATCAAGTTTCCCTTTCTTGCTCTGTTCAGTAACACCAACATCCAGCAAAAAATTAGCAGATACTTCTTTACAGAAACTGAAATATTCCAGAAGAATCTTAAAGACACCAAATGTTAAGGGTCTCTAATACTACATGATTATATGAGACTGTTGGGTTTATATTCCTATTTTTGCCAACAAAGCTTTTTTTTTTTAATGTTTTTATTTATTTTTTGAGACACACATACACACAGTGCAAGTGGGAGAGGGGCAGAGAGCAAGGGAGACACAGAATCGGAAGCAGGCTCCAGGCTCCGAGCTGTCAGCACAGAGCCTGATACGGAGCTCGATCCCACAAACTGTGTGTGAGATCATGACCTGAGCTGAAGTCGGATGCCCAACCAAGTAAGCCACCCAGGCGCCCCAACAAAGCTTTGAACCAAACTGTTCAGTTACCATAAGGGTTTATTAATGTCCCATTTTTAGTGCCTCATTTAAATGTAAGTGGATATCCAAGAACAATCCAACAACATAAGGAAATCCTCCCACTGGAAGACAAAAATTAAAACAAAGAGAAAAAAGGGGCACCTCGCTGGCTCAGTCAGTTGTTCTCAGCGTTGTAAGTTGGAGCCCATATTGGGTGGAGGCGTTACTTAAAATCTTTAAGGGGTATCTGAGTAGCTCAGTTGGTTAAGTGTCCGACTCTTGATGTCAGTTGGTTCAGGTCACGGTCTCAAGGTCATGGGATTGAGCCTTGGGTTTGCACAAATCTCTTGGGATTCTCTCTCCCTCCCTCTCTTCTGCCTCTTCCCTACTCGTGCTCTCTCTCTAAATAAATAAATAAACTTTAAATATCCCAGGGTCGGGGCGCCTGGGTGGCGCAGTCGGTTAAGTGTCTGACTTCAGCCAGGTCACGATCTCGCGGTCCATGAGTTCGAGCCCCGTGTCGGGCTCTGGGCTGATGGCTCAGAGCCTGGAGCCTGTTTCCGATTCTGTGTCTCCCTCTCTCTCTGCCCCTCCCCCATTCATGCTCTGTCTCTCTCTGTCCCAAAAATAAATAAACGTTGAAAAAAAAATTTTTAAATATCCCAGGGTCATGGATTGAGCCCCACGTCAGATTCTGTGTTGAGGGTGCAGCCTGCTTGGGATTCTTTCTTTCCCTCTGCCCCTCTCCCCAGCTCACACATACTCTCTCTCTAAAAAATAAACAAAACAAAACAAAAATAAAATAAAATAAAGCCTTTATGCAGAGTTTTAAAAAAGGGCCTTAAGGCTTTTACATTTTGTTTGAACTGTAAAATGTCTATACCAGTGGACTGTGAAGATATGCATATATAACGTAATATTTAGAGTAACAACTAAAACAAATCCATACAAAGAATAACAGTCTAAAAAATGTTCAAGCAGGGGTGCCTGGCTGGCTCAGTCAGTAGAGCATGCAACTCTTGGTCTCAGGGTCATGAGTTCAAGCCCTATGTTGGGCATAGAGTTTAATAAACAAATAGGGGCACCTGGGTGGCTCAGTCGGTTAAGTGTCCAACTCCGGGTCAGGTCAGGATTTCACAGTTCGTGAGTTCAAGCCCTGCGTTGGGCTCTGTGCTGACAACTCAGAGCCTGGAGCCCACTTCAGATTCTGTGTCTCCCTCTCTCTCTGCCCCTCCCCAACTTGTGCTCTATCTCTGTCTCTCAAAAATAAATAAATGTTAAAAAAAATTTTTTTAAAACAAATAAAAAATGTTCAGGTAATCAAGAGGAAGATGGGTGAAAAAAAAACAAACAAAACACCAAAGAGTACAAACAGAAAACAAGAAATAAAATGGCAGACATATGCCCTAACAGATCAATAATTAAATGTAAGTCTGAATTTACTGATTTAAAGAGACTGAGATGAAAAAATGTGACTCAATTACATGCTGCCTATAAGAAATTCACCTCAAATATAATGATACATGTAGGTTGAAAATAAAAGGATAGAGAGGTGCCTGGGTGGCTCAGTCAGTTAAGCAATTGAATCTTGATTTTGTCTCAGCTCACGATCTTAGGGTTTGTGAGATTGAGCCCTGCACTGGGCTCCATCCTGACAGCACAGAGCATGCTTGGGATTCCCTCCCCCTCCCTATCCCTCCCCTGCTCAAGTGCACTTGAGCGCATTCTCTCTCTCTCAAAATAAATTAATAAACTTAAAAAAAAAGAAAAGGATGGAAAAAGACATACCATGCAAACAATCAAAAACAGGAGTGGCTATATATGAACAAAAGATAAGACTTTGGAACAATTAACGGCTTCAGAGAGGACATTATCTCATGATAAAAGGCAAGAAGACATAGCAATCTTCAATGTGTATATATCAAACAGCAGAGCTTCAAAATATATGAATAAAAAATAACCTGATAGAACTGAAAGGAGAGGGGTGCCTGGCTGGCTCAGTTGGTAGATTACCTGATCTTGGAGTTGTGAGTTTGAGCCCCACACTGGGTAGGGAGATTACTTAAAAATAAATCTGAAAAAAAAAGGAAAGAACTGAAAGGAGAAATAGATAAATCTACAATTATATCTGGAGACTTCAATACTGCTCTCAACAACTGATAGAGCCAGACAGAAAATGAACAAGGATACAGAAGAAGTCAACACCACCACAATTAATACTATAGAACTGACATTTACAGAACACTCTACCCAACAACAGCAGAATACACTAGGGGTCATAAAATGAACCTTAACAAATTAAAAAAAAATTGAACTCATAAAGAGTGTGAGTAGAATGAGCATTACTACAAAAGGGTAGCATGAGGGAGATTGTTGTAATAACAGAACAATTCAGTATCTTGATTTTGGTGGTAGTAGCATTAATCCACAAGTGATGCAATGGAAGAAGATACATACATTGTTCCAATATTAATTTCCTAGTTTTGATATTACACTATGTAAAATGTAGCCACTGGGGGCAACTGACTACATAGGACCTCTCTGTACTACTTCTGTAATTTTCTGTGAATCTATAATTATTTCAAAATAAAAAGTTGAAAATTTACTTCTTTCTCAGGAAGCTATGGAACCATATGCTCTATCAAATATTAAGATAAATCACAAAAGAGAAAGCCATGAAATCCAGGAAAAAGGTGGACCAACACAAGAGAGAGATGAACATTTCCAGAATGAAAACTAAAAGAAATTTTATTACATTAGTTATGCTGCACCCCTAGACATCAACCTGTTGCTAATGGAACTGAAAGTCAGAGGACTCCAAGAGTGACAAGAAAGAGGAGGAGGAGGAAACTGAAAGATATTAACAGCTTTGAGTTTTTATAAACAGTATGTATATATGTACGTGTGTACATATGTATGTATTTACTTATGTATTTATAGTAAGCTCTATGCCCAACATGGGGCTTAAACTCACCACCCTAAGATCAAGAGTCACATACTCTGCGAACTGAGCCAGCCATGTACCCCAACAACTTTGACTTTTTTGAAAAATTCCTTTAAATAGCTATTGGAAAGAGTGGTCAGACTTATCAAATGATCAAAGGACACAAAGCAATTTCTTAACAAGCCACTCACAGTTTATTCCTCAAAAATTCCTGGGAGGTATGAGCAAATATCTTAATTATCAGTCGGGTTAATAGTTGGGGGAGGGGGGTGACTCATTATTAGCTAGCTGGAAATGAAAGGACCTGAAGGGAAAGGATACTAATGATGTAGCAGAGATTAATTTCATGTACTTTACATTTCTACCTAGAGGTGGCCAGGTCTAGATGTGCAAAACACAACTAGGGCCAACTAGCAAGTCATACTGGCTAAGTTTGCTATTAACTGCTGATGCCCACAACACCCTTAGAGCCTCTCAATACACTGTTTTAAGGCTTAGGAATTTTGAACCTTACCAGTGCTTGGGAGAATGGATTTACTTACTGACATGTCCATTCCATGAAGTCTTCGTGTTTCCTGAACCATTACAGTCTCTAATATTTTATAATACAAAATTTCTGCAAGTTTTAGTCTGTTTACAGCAAAGTCTACGGAGGGGAATAAAAGGGAAAATATTTGCTACTGAAATGTAACTGTTAAGCACTGAAAGACAAAACTTATATAAGCTTAAATCTTATACATTAAGAATAGCAAGGAAGGAAAAAATTTAATTTCTACTTTTTTAGGGCCAATCTATCTACTTTCAATGCTGTGTCAACTTTAGTTTTGTCTTCTTACCTATGTGCGATCCCGGCTGTTCATCTGTTGATTGAGTATAGTGTTGGCAGAAAGTCTCTCCTATTCCTTTCACTATTTTCATAATGTTTTCCATAGGATTACGTATACAAGATCTATAAAATAGAAGAGGAACCTAATTACCAGGAAAAAAATCCAGACTACCAACATTTCAAGAATTTGGTTTTAGTGACCACAGTTTTATTCCCAACTGTAAATCTAGATATGTTAAAAGCATGTTTCAAATAAATCTACAGCTTTTAAACAAAATCATCTGGCATACTGTTTTGGAATTTCAACATTAGCAGTGTCAATATTATCTCTTTTGTTCTTCTATTTATATGACATTTTAGAAAAGGCCAAATTATAGGGATAAAGATATATCCGTATTTGCCAGTGGGTGGGATGACACAGGGGTTGACTAAAAGGGGCATAAATTTTAGGGGCTAATGAAATTGTTAAAAGGATGACTCTTATTGTGAATTATATAAATTTATATATATATAATATATATACAAATTTATATAAAATTACATAAATTTATATATATATAAATTGACATATAAATTATACTCCAATAAACCTGATTTAATAAAAATAGAGGCTATAGCAGTATTTATGTATATATTACCCATACATATTATAATATGTAATATAATTTACTATATATTTATATATATTACATATATAATTATATATTATAAATAATTATAATTAGAAACACAATTATATTATAAATGTAATATATTATTATAATTATATTATAATTGTATAATTATAAATATAAATGTTGAAATTCCAAATTTAATTCCAAATATAATTTTAAATTTTTTTTTTTTTTCTTCCAAACGTTTATTTTTATTTTTGGGACAGAGAGAGACAGAGCACGAACGGGGGAGGGGCAGAGAGAGAGGGAGACACAGAATCAGAAACAGGCTCCAGGCTCTGAGCCATCAGCCCAGAGCCTGATGCGGAGCTCGAACTCACGAACCGCGAGATCGTGACCTGGTTGAAGTCGGACGCTTAACCGACTGCGCCACCCAGGCGCCCCCCAAATATAATTTTAAATACATATACTTATAATTATATATATTAATATATAAAATATACTTATGTAAATATAAATATAATGTTGAAATTCCAGACTTAATTCCTAATATAATTATGATTTTAAATACATATATTTATAATTATATATATTAATATATAAAAATATACTCATATAAGTAAATATAAAGTTGAAATTCCAAATTATAATTATATTATAAATACATTATTATAATTATATTATAAACATTACACATAATTATATATAATTGTAATAATATATTATATTACATATTATTTTAATTATATATTATATAATCATACAACTATACACTTATATATATTATGTATATAATATATAATAGGTCATATTATAGGGATAAAAAATAAATCAGTATTTGCCAGTGGGTGGGAATGACACAGGGGTTGACTAAAACGGGGCATACATTTTGGGGGCTAATGGAATTGTTCTACATCTTGCTTGTGATGGTGGTGGTTACATAACTATGCATTTGTCAAATTTCATACAACTATACAGTTAAAAGGATGACTCCTATTGCATATAAATTATACTCCAATAAACCTGATTTAAAGAAAAATAGAGGCTATAGCAGTATTCATATATATATTATATATAATATATATATAATAGATACAGTTGATCCTTCAACAAGATGAGTTTGAAGTGTGCAGGTCCACCTATAAGTGGATTTTTTTCAATATAGTACAGTATTGCAAATGTATTTTCTCTTTATGGTTTTTTTGTAAATTTTTTTAATGTTTACATTTGAGAGACAGAGAGAGAGAGGGAGGAATGGAGGAAGGGGCAAAGAGAGAGGGGGGACAGAATATCCGAAGTGGGCCCTGTACAGACAGCAGAGAGCCTGATGTGGGGCTAGAACCCATGAACCATGAGATCGTGACCTGAGCCAAAGTCAGATACCTAACCAACTGAGCCACCCAGGCGCCCCTCTTTATGATTTTCTTAATAACATTTTCTCTTCGCGAGCTGAATTTATTCTAAGAATACAGTATACAATACATATAACATACAAAACATGTGTCTATCAACTGTTTATGTTACTGATAAGGCTTCTTCTAGTCAACAGTAGGCTGTTACTAGTTAGATTTTGGGGAATCATTAGTTATGGAGTACCTGGCTGGCTCAGTCGGTAGAGCATGTGACTTGATCTCAGGATCATAAGTTTGAGCCCCATGTTGGGTGGAGACATTACTTAAAAAAAAAAGTTATATACATATTTTTTGATTGTGTGGAGGGTTGGTGACTCTAACCCCCATGCTGTTCAAGGGTCAACTATATATATTTATAGTAGTGGAACAATAAACTGTATGTAATTCTCATCAAAGCCTAAATAATAATAAATAGAAAAATACAGCACTAAAAAGGCACTTAGCAAGAAATAACTGTTACCCTTATATTGTTACCTTTCTTTCATTCAAACACAGAATCTTAATTCAGAAATGACAAACAAGGGCAACTGGGTGGCTCAGTGGTTAAGCGTCCAACTTTGGCTCAGGTCATGACCTCACGGTTTGTGAGTTCAAGCTCCACACTGGGCTCTCTGCTGTCAGCACAGAGCCCTCTTCCGATCCTCTGTCCCCCTCTCTTTTTGCCCCTCCCCTGCTTGTGCTCTCTCACTCAAAAATAAATAAACATTAGGAAAAAAAAAGAAATGAAAAACAAATCCAGACTATGAGAAAGAAAAGTGATCTGCCTGAAACCAGATAATGAGTGCAGTGTTCAGGACTCCCAACTCCATGTCCAAACAGACCAGTATGATGTGTAGAGAGGTAAGCAACACATATGGCAAAAATACTTTGTTTTTATCAAGTTCTTCTAATGCAAGCTGTGCCTCTTGAGTAATGTTTTCTTCCAATTAGGCTGTCTTTAATTTTTTTAAACTATTTTTCTAAAGTTTATTTATTTATTTTGGGGGGGGGGGCTGCAGAGAGAGAGGGAGAGAGAATTCCATGAACTGTGAGATTATGACCTGAGCCAAAATCAAGAGTTGGATGATTAACCAACTGAGCCACCCAGGTGCCCCTCATGTCTAGGTTTTTAAGTTAACTTTTTGAGTTAACTGTTGGATATGGTGTAAGATAAGAGTCCACCTTCATTATTTTGCATGTAGACATCTAGTTTTCCCAGCAGCATTTGTTGAAGAGACTATCCTTTCCCCATAACGTAGTCTTGGCACCTTTGTCAAGGATCATTTAACCAAATACATGAAGATTTATTTTAGCATTCTCTAGTCTGTTCTATTGGTCTACAAGCCTGTCTTTATGTCAATCCAATTCTGTTTTGACTATGGTAGCTTTGCAATATATTTTGAAGTCAGGAAGCATTCCAGCTTTGTTGTTCTTGCTTTATTGTTTTAAAGGTATTTTGAAATTCTACATGAAATTATAGTAATTTTTTTTCTATTTCTATAAACAATGCCACAGGCATTTTGATATGGACTGTACTGAATCTACAGATTATTTTGGGTAATAAGGACATTTTAACAATATTAAATCTTCCCATCCATGAACATGGAATGTCTTCCCATTTATTTGTTTCTAGGTCCTTTGTGTTTTGCATACTATGTTTTCGTGCTTCCCACTTTCTCTTGTTGCTATAAAATGTTTGCATCATTACCTTGACACTTCTTTTCAACTTGTTCATGCTTACACAGTTTAGTCCAGATCTATTTTATTCAAGTGCTATGAGGATTGAAGCTCTCCATGACAGTCTTCCCACCCTATCAGCAGTCTGCATATCTTTTGAGCTGTGTCTGAGGTTAGGATTGTTCTGTCTACTTTTCTGTAAACTAAAGGTTTGGGGAGTAGAAGAGAGCTCAGGTGGTGTTATGTTCAGCTTTTGTT